GGGCCGTAACAGTTTCGCAAGTTCCATTCATGCCCGAAGAGTTAAACACCATTGTCTCGGTGGCTTTTATTAACTCCGACCTAATTCAGCTCACGGAAGGAAGAGGAGGCGCAACAGGACAGACTATCAACTCAACCATAATAACATTCCCCACTATCCGTTAAACAAAATGTTCGCTTGTTAAAAAGGCCAGTTTAAACTAGAAATTAATCTATCATTTTTAATTTAAACTAAAGCTAATGACCAGTTCGATTCGTTAGAAGATGAGACGACGTTTCAACGCCATTTAAAGCATGGTGTAATCGCTTGTAATCTGTTACGTTTCAGTCACTTTACAACGCGATGTAATCCTTGTTTCGAGAAAATGACTATATCAGCGCTCCGGTCAATCACAGCAGCGGCAAGAAAATCTCCGTTATCCCGTCTCTGCGACGAGGAAGCCAAGGGTAGATGTGTGGAGAGCATGTAATTTGAATAACGCAACAACATAAAAGAATGAGATAACATAATTTTCCTTCGAGAGTAAGAAATGCAGGAAAAGATGCCACAATGAGACCGCTGCTTCTTAAAATGCTTAGTGATTTCAAACAAACTAGAGTGGTTCTACACCAATATTAACGTAGAGGATGATTAATACAAACAACTACACCAGGTACTACGCTATACAGCGCAATCCGTACCGCCCCTTAGAAGCTTAAGCGGTGACTTTCTACGACAAGCCACGGCTTCATCCTATTTAAGCTCCTATAGTCTATGAATGAGAGTACGCTTCTCTCAGTGGGGTTGAACAAGGGAGTAAATCTGTCACCATTCATAAACAAATATAAAAAGAAGTTAACTTCGACATTGCAGGTTAGCTAACACATTGCAGCATTCCAATTCCGAAGGCAATAATAAAATTTTCATTTCTGATACTCAAATTACTCGGCGTAAGAGCGTCACTCTACTCTGCTCCTAGTCATCTAGGCGAACCATTTAATAAGACCACGGTTCCATGGCATTCGAGCATGGATGCAAAGATTGCATCACTGAGTTGGGCTAAATGACGGCAGGTCCGAGTACTAACAGACACAATGTGGCAGCTACCCCAGAACATTATTATTAACTTACGTGGAGATACTATCCCGTTAATAGAAGCAGACTTAGTTGCATGACCACACAGTCGTTCAGCCAAACTCAGAGATGCGGTCATGCATCCAGTGCTCTGCAGATGCTAAAATACTACTGAGCCGTAGCTTGCCCAAATGGTCCCCCTAGGCGACCGGGGTCTAGTCACAAATTGAAATATTATGAATTAAATCAAACCATAAACCTGGTTTACACCAGCACTGACGTAGCAAATAATTCAATAAGTCATACACCGGATTGTACGGCAAAGACACAGCTCCTTCTCTTCTGAAAGGAACTTCTATAAGAAGTTTTGGAGAACTGCTCACATTACTCTCTGGGATAAATACTGGCGTTACTGCTGCAGTTTCGTTCAGCTTCAGGACGATGACTGTTCGGAACAGATTTATTTAAATACACAAAGAAATGTTATTGGCAATTCATGGCTACCGTAGAGAACCCGAAGAAAGCCATCATGCACTCAAATGACATAAGTTCTCATACTCAGATTGTAGCAACTGCCAAAGGAGCGGATTGCGAGGTTAGTTTCATACATCAGTGAGCTGCCGTAATTGCAACAACGGTAACTGCAATCGTTCTGATGCCACGGACCGTCTGTCCAGCAGACGGTTTTCAACAGCAGAATTCGTCATCGTCAGTGTCGCTTCATCACCCATGAGTGTCTGTATCACCGTTAATATGCACTGAGACCTTGCTGCACGTCTAAAATGCAAGGAAGCAATGTTGTTCTGCTAGCGATCAAATATGAGCGCTGGTATCGAGGTTAGCAGAAAATGCGGAAGTCTACTAACAATTTAACTCTTCGTGGTGACAGATGAAGTTAAAGTAACGTAATGGACATGCATTCATCTATCATTCAGAGAAATGAACGATGAATGAATGTACAATTCTGTGAAAATTTTTGTTCAGGACTGCTCAGAACATGAATATCAAAATAACCAAATGAAGCTGGTGAAGAGAGTTCGTATGGTGGCAAGTCCATCAAGCTCGTCGACGACGTTCATTTGTTTTGCCATTGAGTGTTCAAAAAGCAGACAGCACGACGAAAAGATTTCATCACTTTTCCATCGTGCATTAAGAGGCACGTTCGATCCCAATCGTTTCATTATTGGCTTTATTAGTGTCTTTCTAGGCATTCAACCATCAGAGTTATGCATGACGGTGATGGTCAGTAACACATGAGTTATCTTAAAGGTATAAGGAACCCTGCAAATCAAGATTATCAGAACACTGTTATTTGACCGTTTCCGGATTATTCATCAAAGACCTTCAAGGCAACGGTTACGGTTCAGAAAAATATACCCTGGAGTTGATCACGATGTCACGCTGTCAAGCGATTCCGTATTCAGCGAGTTGTCCTCTAAAGACAGAGATTCACGGATTGTATAACGGTAGATAGTGTGTGCACAGCAATGCACTACTCAGTTAAACCAACGTGAAAAAGCATCAAGAAATTCTTTATAGAACGAAATTTATCATCCATTACCTCGTCTATCTTAAATCCTCAATAAGTCGATTCACTAACGGCTATCTCATGTCAACATGAACAAAAACTTCAATAACCATACCTCCGCAAGCAGACCTTAGTTTCCACGTTCTTGGCATAAGGGTCATTAGCAGCGTCTATACGGACGTGAAGCTTTTCAAAATCGCCGATCTTATTCACTGCTGATAATTCGAGGGTTCTTTCTTTCAAGTCCATCAGGGGTTGCACAGCAACGAGTGACGGAAGCTGCTTGAGAGTGACACATGCATTGGAGGCATCGACGATCATCCAGTGGCGATCGAAAAGCAATCCGTTTCTGGTCACAAGCCAGTGGTCAACTCTCACCGGTCGACAAGATTTCACCGGATAAAAAAATATGCTCGAAAGTTTCATGCTGCTCTCGATGGTGTCGACAACGTGTTCTTCAGAACAGTCATAAAATATTTCCTGATGACAAACCGCTGACCAACTTGATGGATGGGGAAAGCTTCTACAGAATAATTTTTATAAATGCATACGATAAATTTTACTAACCGCTCGACGAAACATGAGGTTATAAAGCGGAAAAATGCGTCAACGTCCGCCTCAGTTGAGAGCCAGCCAAAAGACACTCTCACCGAACCGACCGGTTTTCCGTTCACAATATCCACTTGGTCACCGCAGCGTTTACCGTGCTCGTAAAAAACTGTATCGCAACTTCTGGACAATTTAGACTGTTCATACCTCGTAGTTTTGGACAACCTCTTCATCAGACAGGTCAAGATGTTGCTGGCAAGCGCCTATGTTACAGAAGCACCCTGATCTGAGACAAACCCCGCAGGCGTCTGCTAACTTCTCGATCGTGCTGTAGCCTATCCAACTACCGTTGACGGATTTCAGGTTAAAGTTCACGATGCCTCCTTGACGATCACAGCTTTCGAAATCCGTACAGCAGTACAGTCGGGCAACCGGTGCTCCATTGAAGTGTTTGAGCGAGGACAGAAAATCGTACACCAACTTGGTTAGACGGAATACGTAATGCTTGATACTGGATGCACCGCCGCCTAAACAAAAATACAAATTACAACCGTTTCCAAATCGCCTTCTCAGCTTACCCTTATTGTTAAATTCATCAAATCCTAGGTTCAAGCTTGCAATCTGCTGGAAAGGAACGGTCCCATCTTCAAATCTGGAATTTGTGTTAAACAGCAAAAGCTAATACAAAGCCAAGTTGAAAATAACAAACCACAAGTTTATTGAAAGTTAAACCATACGCTCAATTACAGGTAAATCACTAAGCTCAAATGTCGGAAGGAAGACAATAAAATACTGATGACATGACAGCAGGACCGTGGAAACAATAAAACAACATTTTCTCTAAAAGTATGCCTGGAAACGTATCACGATTCTCTCTGTAAGAGGATGTTGAACCTTTCACATAATCAGTTCTGCTCTTCACAACAAGCTTTAACACCAAATATTTAATCTTCCCACTAGCTCGTATAACAAGTATGTCTGCTTTCAGTGGAAAATATGGAAAGCTAATGGATTACCAACACCTAAGCAAACGTTTTCTGTGATAGCTACCACGAACGATGTCGGAAACAAAGTTCTGCACTTTTCCAGGAGAAACGCCTTGACGCATTTACATTACTGAGCGTTGTTGAACTCGCCAAGTTAACGCAGACGTTGCGTTAAATTTTCCACGATGAAAAAGAGTTGGGAACGGAATGAATGAAGAGCTCATGAACTTTCTTATTTGCATATTTTACTTCATCTTGTAGTCAACTCGTTTGGCAGTTCATGTAGTAGCCCGTCGCATGGATCCGCTGCGATGAATATTCAGTGGTTGTAAAACTAGTAGTCACGCGGAGCTGAACCATTGCCATAGAACTTCACTGACCAAAAACTGCACATAGTGCAACATCAACTACATGTGAACCTCTAGTATCCACATATATCATCCGAAGGACATCCGTCGGCTAAGCCGAACTGGGCATTTTATGCTATTCCTGGAATGTATGGGCGATCTGCCGTGTTGCCCATTTGATACTGTCATAAGAACGAACGATGTACTTGAATCTATCACAGCAAAGCCATGCCATTTCTGAACCGTAAATATTTTGGGATCTGTCATGGTCAACCATAAACCACACGCCACCTACGAGCACGCAATAAGGCCATGACAGATCCGTGGCAGCCGACCTGAACATAACTTGTAGCAAAGCGCTTTTGACACGCTACATTCATAAACTAACTTCATAAGTTCTGTAGGGTTTAATCATAAACTATGATTTCCGTAGTTAACAGTTAATGTCGAAGCCGTTTCTTTTAACAACGCACGCCATAAACGTATTCTATTCTGGGGAAGACTCTTTTGAAATGTAAAAAATTAATACGTAATATAAATAATATAATTACAATCAATCAGTATGTCTGATTTCAGTATCGAATATTCAAGCGGAATAAGTTGAAAATCTAGTCGTAATCTCGACATCTCGCCAGTAAAGTGAAGCAACCTAATCAAGTTTTTTGAATAGTACGAGAAAGTAATCTCGTAAAATGCACACAAACAATCGAGTCAACAATAGCGCCTAAAGGATTATTACGTCTGTCTGGAACAGGAGATGTCTGAAATGGAGAACCGTCTTTGGCAAATCGACAGAAGAGCAAAAATGGCAGGAGCGTTTCTGGAATATTGAATACGTTCCTATCAAAGGGAAACTCTTGAAACGGTAAGTTTGCGATCAGTTTATACTCCAAGTGCCACGTTATGTGTGCGAAACGTTGTTTGATCCTACATCTGAAAGTTATTCATAAGCTGCAAACTTCGAAGTGCAGCAGGGAAAGACGAGTTGGGAATAACAAAAAAAATATGAGAAGACTAATGAGTGGGTAACAGCAAAAACAGGACATTGCGAGGGTCATTGCCAGGGGGAAGAAGTTGAAGTAGCAGTGGACGGGACACGTTTTAACGAGAAATGACTACCGATGCACAGAGAGACATCATACCTGGTTCCAAGAAAAAGTAAATGAGCCG